CGTTGCTATTGAAAGATGGTTCACTGAATTCATTTGGAAAAAGCAATGAATCATGTAGCAACTTTACTAATAGCGCAATTGATATGCAAACGATGGCAGAGTTATTAAGTTTGCCTTTGTTAGGCGTGAGCAAAATAGAGTTAGTCATTTTCTTTCTACTTTCGGTGGAGTTCAGGAACACACTGTTGTGTGGCTTAGGGACGGACCAGGTGATGTGCCGGCCCTGTGTAAGCAAGACCTTGATGCTGGCTAAGTAATAGAAACTGTCGTTTATCCTGCAAAAATAATAATAGTGCAATTGATAAGCCGGCTTCGTCTTCGCATCACTATGATTATAAGCATCACTATGATTATATAGCATTATCTGCGACAGTGCCGTATGGTGTCACTTAACCAATAGGCATGGGTTGCATACTTGTATGTTGGGGAAAAAAAAATCCTTGCCCAAGGAAAATATTGTAAGTTAGTGCCTCTATTTCCTCAATTCACAGGATTTTCAAATGCAGGAATAGAAGAAACATAGTGATGCGAAAACCATATGAATTTGGATAAAAGAATGTTGATGCCACAAAAACAAAAACTACAAAGAGGTTTGATGAAAAATTTCCTCCAAAAATAGTGTGCAGAGTGATCCTAAATTCCTAAGGATCTAAATCCTCTAAAAATAATATGGAATTCCTTTTAAACAAATCAAAGGAGCCCATTGCGAGAACTCAAGTTTTGTGCATTTAGTTGAACCTGCATCTCATATTGAGTTGCCAGTTGTGAAAAATAAAATCATGGACGTTGGGAATGACATCCAATATGTTTTTTTTAAGCTAATGACATCCAATATGTAAACCTGCAAAACTCCGTTCAAAGATATGGAAAATTATGCACCAGATAAAGTATACAAGAGATATTTCTTAACAGTACAATTTTTACAAGGGCACAGGCGCACAGCGGCAACATTCTTGATATCTTCTAGAATTATTAAAAAACAACTCATCCACTGAAGAACAGGGTCAGAAGGATGTATAGAAAGCAGTGCAAACCATGAAAATGGAACCAGGGAAGGAGATTGAGTAAGAATACTCTGCCATTTGCCAAATTTTTATTTCTCCTGAGAGCTGAGACGAAGGCTGTTCATTTTTTCAGCCTCGGCCCTCTTCGATGATACACATACATATTACATGCCCAAATTGAAGGACAAAACTGTCATACCCACCTAATCACAGTCCAATAATCCTAACCACATTATACACATCAGGATCTCCATCTCTATAGTGACAGGTGCAGTTCCAATCCTGCCCTCCCCCGCCGCGCCCTCGGCGACGCCACCGCCGCGGTGACCTCGCTGTCCCACAGCCTTACGACGGTGCCGTCGAGCACTGCCATGTCAAGGTGGCGGTACCAGCCCAAATCTCCCCGCCTCCTCACCGCCATCTCCCTCTCCTCCCAGCAGGGCACCGCCGTCGATGCCACCGACCTGATCCTCATCGACGCCGTCCGTCTCGGCAGCGTCTCGCTCTGGTCGTCGACGACGGGCACGCCGTCCTCGTCCTCGTCCCTGTCCGCGCATTTCCTGACGCCATCCACTACTCCATCGTTGCCGGCGTCAGCTCCGGCCCCGCCGTAGTACGCCGTGAACCGGACCTTGGACGGCGAGCTCGGCTCGCTAATAGGGGAAGCCGGCTCCACCGGCACGGTGCGTGCGGGTCGTGGCTCGTCAGCGGCAGGCGACGAAAGAGCCTGCATCTGCTGCTTGTCGTCCACGAGGGTGCTGCTGCGGGCGCCGGCGTCGGGTAGTTTGTTGGAGGAGCCGACCGCGCGGATGCGCCAGAGGCCGACGGCGGCGGCGAGGGCCGCGACGAGCCAGGCGAAGAGCGAGGCGACGGTGTTGGCCGCCGCGGGGAGGGAGTAGAGGGGGAAGGCCATGGCGTCCGCCGGCACCACATTGAGCAGATCCATTTGCGGTGACGGCGACGGCGACGGGGAGGTCTCCGGGCGGTTGTTCAAGATAGGGAAGGAGCAGGTTTGGTTTTTGGGTTTGTTGTGAATGATGAGGATAGTGAGGAGGGTGGGCTTGGGTAGGAAGTGTATATATAGATGGCGGAATAGAAATGATGGAGTTTGCAGTTTAGTACCGAGAGCTTTTGTAATTTCTATACACTCCCCCCTAAAAAATCCATATATTTCGTGGATGTTGGGTTAGGTAAGCAAGTGCACTGATACACGTTTCTTCAATCATCTTTTTTGCAAAAATCATACATGTGCAGTGTGCTAGGCAGAACACAAATACACAATCCACTAGCTACTGAAAAATCATACATGTGAATTCTTTTTTTAAGGGAATTTTTCGTCCAATTCTTGAAAAGTTTGCATACATACATATGTAATCGTTTCCCAGAATAAAGTAATCCTTAGACCTGTAAACAGAAAACCAGCTAAAGTCGAGGTGCGTACATGCAAAATAGAAAATCGTCAGTTAATGGGAGCTGTCAAACGTAATAGTGCGGGCAAAGATGCCCGGAATTGGCATCAGTGGGGATCTGATCGGGAGATGCTCGGAATCGAGCCCGGGAGATGCTACGAGATATCCCATTTCCGCAGCCAGCGTCAGCATGCGTGCGCGCGGTTTGCAACCAGCGGTCGAGATGGCTCGTTGACGGAACCGGCTGCATGTGGGCCTGCCTGAGATGTGGTACTACTTCGCGGTTCCTGTAGGCCGGGCGAGAGATATAGGGGTCGAAATCTTCTTTTTTTTTTCCACGAAACGGCCGGTCGAGATTTTTTTCAAGGGGGACCGATCGAGATATAGGTATCGTGCTATGTGATGTCTCGCGTTTGTGCTCGGAGTTTTGGGAAACCGTTTTGCTCTTCTTTGGTCCGTAACCACAATTTCTTCCAACTTCGGCATTGCCGGCTGAGGATTGTGTTGCGTTTGGTTTGAGAAACCAGCAGAGATATATCGTGTTGACGTGGCACGAGCATCTCGTGTGAATGTGTGATCAACGTGCTATGCGTTCTATCCAGTCGATCACGGTTTGAACTACTTCGTGATTCCAAATGTTCGATGGATCACACCCGAGACCGGACGAGGCTGTGGGTATCTGTATCTGCGATCCAGGTACGGCGGTACGGGTGGCAACAGCAGTCACTCCGTACCCCGCACGGCAGGCCACACAGAGGGGCTAATTTTTTTAAAATAATACATTTTATTTATTAATTTTCATAAATATTACGCTGGGTAAATATTTTTCAAAAATAATACACCGTCGGCCCGCTGCAGGCCGACTGGGCCTAGTCGGCCCACAACAAGCTGATTGGATTCCAGTTGGCCTACAACTGGCCGACTGGCCCCTGTCGGCCCACTATGGGCTGATTGGGTCCTGTCGGCCCACTGTGGGCCGACTGGAGCTAATTGGCCCGCTGTGGGCTAATTGTTTTTGCAAAAAAATAGGCATAAAAATATATATTTAAAAAAATGTTAATCATATAATTAAAAAATGTTAAAGGTGTATAAAAAAATGTTTCCTGATGTATACAAAAATGTACAATATATATGCAAAAATGTTGACATAAAAATATGTTTTAAAAAGTGTCAATCATGTATTTAAAAATTGTTAAATGTGTGTATAAAAAATGTTCCTTATTTATACAAAAAATATAGAATGTGTATGAAAAAAAGTTGACACCCAAAAAATTATGTTGGTGAGTTGGTGACAAAAAATAAATCAAGGTTGTCAAAAAATATGATTGGTTGCTCTTTTTGTATGGAACTGGAACATTTTTTTCAAACATATTTTTTTGGTGTCAACTTTTTTTCATACACATTCTATATTTTTTTATAGATAAGGAACATTTTTTATACACACATTTAACAATTTTTAATCATGTATTTGAAAAAATGTCAACTTTTCAAACATATTTTTCAAACATAATTTTTTGGCGCCAGCTTTTTTTCATACACATTCTATATTTTTTGTATAAATAAGGAACATTTTTTATACACACATTTAACAATTTTTAAATACATCCTTAACACTTTTCAAAACATATTTTTTATGTCAACATTTTTGCATATATATTGTACATTTTTTGTATACATCAGGAACATTTTTTTATACACGTTTAACATTTTTTAATTAGATGATTAACATTTTTTAAACATATAATTTTTATGCCTAGTTTTTTTGCAAAAACAATTAGCCCACAGCGAGCCAATTAGCTCCAGTCGGCCCACAGTGGGCCGACAGGACGCAATCAGCCCACAGTGGGCCGACAGGGGCCAGTCGGCCAGCTGTAGGCTGACTGGAATCCAATCGGCCTGCTGTGGGCCGACTAGGCCCAGTCCGCCTGCAGCGGGCCGACGGTGTATTATTTTTGAAATTTTTTTATCCAGCGTAATATTTATGAAAATTAATAAAAGAATGTATTATTTAAAAAAAATAGCCACAGAGGGGAGCTCCTTTTTTAGCATCAGGGGAGCTTAAGGTGACTTGCGCTCGCACGGCAGCGCAGCGGGCCGGCCCAGGAAACGCAGCTCGGCGTCACTTTGTGCGTTCGGTTTATTCGTTTTGCATGGTTCGGTGTATACGGGTTTTCGATTTATATGGTATTAATACTTTAGTTTATACGGTATGATATTAAAATATGGTTCGGTTTTGGTATATACCAAATTATTTCGGTATGGTTTCAGTATATACCATAATAACCAAAGTTGACGCGAATTTGAAAATGACATACTATATTTTACAAACTTATAAATTCAAACACATACTTTTTAAATACAAACGGTATATAACTTTATATAAGTATATATGCATGCCTCAATTCATGCCTTAAAAGGTTATGGACGACGTGGTTAGCATTTTTGCACGAGAAAAATTACTGCGTTACAAGAAAAAATGGATGTTCTTTGCAGGAAATTTTACTCTTGTACAAGAAAAATGACTACTTGTACTGTTGTTTGCCTCAAGAAATATTTATTTATTTATTTATTTCGGTTTATTCGGTTAACCATTCGGTTTTAATCGCTCTTCCCAGATAAAAACGGTTCTTATTCTATCCACAGGGACTTTTGCTCCAACTAGATTGAGCACGAAATCCAAGGACCTTGAGTGACCACAAAGCCGAAGGGCGAGAGCAAACAGATCAATCACTAGAGACAGCTTTGTTTCTTGATAACAAAGATAGCCTGCCTTGACTTGAATTGAGATAAAGGAAAGGTAGTACATTGATATCGCTCCGCATTGAATTGAGAAAAAAGCATTACCGGATTGTGGAGGATCAATAGACTCTGCCGTCGATAGACAGAAAGACACTTCAATTGCCCATTTCTCTCCGCTATTCTTCGCTTAGAAGGGCTTGACTTACTTAACTTACCGCTTTCCCGAAACTAGCTAAAAAAGGGTCAGGTATACCTGCCTGATGAGATAGGGTTTTTTCTAAAGCGGGAGCTGCTGTCGGTATGAGCAATTTCTTAAGTTCTTTGATTGATTCCGTCCCCGAGTGCAACCAAAGTTCCTCTAATTCCTCAGCCAGATATTTCCCTTGCCAGACTTTCTCGATAGCGGAATCAATAGATGTTACCACGGAGCGGTACCTATATACCATAAAAATCGAAATTCAAAATGGTATGAAAAGTTCATACCATATCGAAACTAGAAACCATAAAAAACGTGAATTCGGTTTGGTTCGGTTTATTTTCGGTATGGTTTTTTGGTTCGGTTTTAAAATGCACACAGTGAGCGTGGCGCGACGAAGGTTGGCGTATTGCAAAAAATGCTCTAAAATACACTATAGAGCTAGGATTCCATCTCTGACCATCTGTACCTCAACATTCTACCATGGCTAGGGATGAAAATGGAGTGGAAACTTCTCGTTTTTCTGGAGGAAAAATGGAAACGGAGATTTGCAAAACGAAAGTGGAAATGAAATTTTTTATGCGGAAACGGAAACAAAAACGGAACAGTGTTTTCCGGTGGAACATGCATGGAAACGAAACTTTTCGTGTCTGTGAATATGGAATTTCTGTTTTTACTATAGACTTATAGCTGCTTTGTAGCCCAACCACCAAAGAGAACACAATGACACAATTAGTAGAATGGATATGAGGCCCAACTTCTACTATCACACATGTACTCAGGTTTGACCTTATACGCAATTGTCCGGTACTAATTGATGGGTAACGTAGTAATTTCAAAAATATTTCTACGCACACACAAGATCATGGTGATGCATAGCAACGAGAGGGGAGAGTGTTGTCCACGTACCCTCGTAGACCGAAAGCGCAAGCGTTATGACAACGCGGTTGATGTAGTCGTACGTCTTCACGATCCGACCGATCCAAGCACCGAACGTACGGCACCTCCGAGTTCAGCACACGTTCAGATCGATGACGATCCCCGGACTCCGATCCAGCAAGGTGTCGGGGATGAGTTCCGTCAGCACGACGGCGTGGTGACGATGATGATGTTCTACTGACGCAGGGCTTCGCCTAAGCACCGCTACGATATGACCGAGGTGGAATATGGTGGAGGGGGGCACCGCACACGGCTAAGGAATGATCACGAAGATCAACTTGTGTGTGATGGGGTGGCCCCCTGCCCCCGTATATAAAGGAGGGAGGGGAAGGTGCGGCCGGCCCCCTAGGGGTGCGCCTGGAGGAGTCCTACTCCCACCGGGAGTAGGACTCCCCTCTCCTGCCTTGGTGGAGAAGGAAAGGGGGGAGGGGAAAGAGGAAAGGGGGGCGCCGCCGCCCCCTTCCTTGTCCTATTCGGACTAGGGGGGAGGGGGCGCGCGGCCTGCCCTGGCCGGCCCTCCTCTTCTCCCTCATGGCCCATGTAGGCCCATTAACCCCCGGGGGGTTCCGGTAACCCCCCGGTACTCCGGTAAAATCCTGATTTCACCCGGAACGTTTCCGATATCCAAATATAGGCTTCCAATATATCAATCTTTATGTCTCG